CCCGCCTTGGAAAGTGCCTTCTTCAGCTTGCCCCGCTGCTTCTCCTCCCTCAGCAGGTTGCCCCCGCGGTTGGCGAAGCGGCTGGGGTCGGTCGCTTTCCTCTGGTGGGGGAGGTCAGCAGAGAGCGGGGGTCAGGAGGGACAGGACAGAGACCCTGCAGGACGCCGCCCCTGCTGCACACCCCCTCCCACGCTACCCCAGTGCTCAGGGAGGTGCCCCCCACCCTCGTGGCTGCCCTGTGCCTCCCTGCCCTGTCCCAGCAGCACTCCAGCTGGGACTGGAGGCGCTGCCCAGCAACCGAGCACACTCCTGCCCAGACAATACCTCCAGCTCCAGAAACAGCTTCCAGTTCTCCTCCCACTTCTGCACGGCCTCAAACAGGTCTTTGTGTGCTTCATAGTAGCTCTTCACTCTCTCCACCTCAGCATCATGGAGCTCGAGCAGGGTCTCTGTGTAGTCCTCTGGAGAGAAGACAACAGCATGTTCAGGAGGCAGCAAGAAGCTGCCTGTGGGTCTGAGCCAAGGGCAGCCCTTCTTAGGAAGCACCCTGCAGCTCCCAAGGGCGAGTCCACGAGCAGGAAAAGCAAGTACCCACCATCATAATAGGGGCTGAAGTTCTCCCTCTGCTCCTGACTGTAGAAGCATTTATCCCAGTAGCCAGCCAGCTCTGCCCGGATGGCCTGAATCACAGTTTTCATGTTCTGCAGCTTCAGTTCCTCCAGATGGTCCACTTCCAACTGCAGCTGCCAACAAAACCAGGGCACAGACTCAGAGAAGACAGCACAAAGAGATGCCACTTTCTAAAACAAGGCAGTTATCATCACCCCATCCTAGCTCCTCCACCCACGAGGACAGCATTTGGCCTGCTCATCTCATGAAAAAGAAACAGACTGGTTTGGGTAGAAAGGGACATTTCAAGATCATCTAAGTCCAATCCCCCTGCAGGGAGCTGGGACATCTCGAGCTAGAGCAGGGTGCTCAGAGCCCTGGCCAACCTCACCTGGGATGGTTCCAGGGATGGGGCAGCGACCACCTCTCTGGGCAGCCTGGGACAGGGGCTCACCACCCTCAGCAGCAAAAATGTCTTCCTTCTCTCTAACCTCAGACTCCCTTTTATAGTTTCAAACCATCCCCCCTT